AGCCGGCGACGGCACAAAGTCCTGTTCTCTGCTCTTCTGTTCGCTTTCACGGAAGTAATCGTCAAATGAAGCCGGCGCAGCATGTGCGTGCCGAGCTTTGCGGCCGTGGCGGCCGTGAGTCCGCGCAACTTGGGGTATCGGTCCGCTCGTCTGTGGTGAAAGAGGGCGTAGAGACGGCATTTCCGCCGGCACTAAGAAGTGACCTCCAGCCACAGATTTTGGCGATTGGCGAGCTTGATCTGTAGGTTTATCTCTTGAATCGAAGACTACCTCCCCGGGCCCTTCGACCTCCTCCCCGAGACCGACGGGCAGTCTATGGAGCGCTCCATACCCCAGCACCGCACCAAGAGCGCCTTCCCCGCCCCAGTTCCGGTTGGGTACTATCTCCACATCTCTAACGACATCGAACTCGCTATTGTATACCCATAAAGTGAGACTTCTGTTGAGGTGGTCCTCCACGAGTTCCCCAAGCGCTGCTTCCCCCCTCAGCGTCCCACTCGGCGTTCCTAGGATGTAATCCGAATGCGGCAGAAGGCCGGCTAGGTAGGCAGGGCTAAGTGGCGAAGGTATCGACAGCACATGCCATATGTGCTGGGTGGAAGAGAGAGGTGCGAGTTGTAAAGTGAGCCCTAACGTTGGCTTCTCTGATTGAATCGGTATTACAACGCTGTGTGTTCGTTGGCCCTAGGATTTTACGGGTGAGTACCGCGGACAGTAAGGGCTAAAATCATAGATACCTTTGCGCTCCAAATCTGCAAAGAAACACTTGCCCCAGCACAATTGCGCACTTCAGTCGCGAATAGATGAGGGTCGGGATCTTCCTGTAAGCATAGATGAGCTCTTGTGAACCGGTAAGCTCTCTGAGACGGGAGAAGGTGACTCACTATAAGTCGGCCATTTATCCCGATTATAAAATCAAACCAAGGCTCTAGGGGAAGCTCTGGGTCTTTATTCCGCAGCACCTGGAAGCCGTACGAGCTGTCTCCTGTGGTGCTGTTTGGCTGCTTGGGTGAATCCGAGTCTAGCCTTCCAATGAAGCGATTTAATGCGCCGAACATTTGACAGGATACTCGATAGCAAACCAAGTGAGATCTAACAATTGCAATCAGAAAGCGATTGGGTTCGCTTGGGATTTTGGGCTGTTGTCGCTTCACAGTCAAAAGGTGTCCCTTGAGCTGGTGACATCAGCACCAGAGCTCGAACTCAAAAAGTGTGTTCTTCTAACAGCACCACGGGCGACCGGTTATAGCACGAGACGGCGACGGTCTTCCTTGACTGGTAGAGCAATACCAAACGCCCAAAGTTTTACCATTATGATTGCTCGATACGGATAGGGAAATCTGCTTCATGAATGATAGCGAGGCGGCGAGATGAGTGTTGAGGGCGAAGTGCCTCCACCGGAGGTCAAACACTACAACAGCCGTGATGATGTACCACAGGATATTCAAAAGTACTGAGTCCTTTACTCTATTGAATAGGTAGAAGTACTAATTGGGCATTGTAGGTACTGGGCACAGCGCTATAATATCTTCTCCAAGTACGATGACGGTGTCTGGTTAACCGACGACGCCTGGTTTGGAGTCACTCCAGAGCCCGTTGCTACGTATGTATTGATTTTCCGCATCACTTAACGAAAACGCGCTAACTAATGATGCTCTGAAGCAAAATAGCAGACCATGTGGCGGCTGCACGGTCCCTAAAGAAATGTATCATGATCGATGCATTTGCGGGCGTTGGGGGGAACGCAATCGCGTTCGCACGCTCTAATAAATGGAAAAGAGTCTACGCGATTGAAAAGGACCCTGCAGTCCTTCAATGTGCAAAGCACAATGCGAAGATTTACGGGGTCGAGGACAAAATCACTTGGTTTGAGGGAGACTGCTTTGAGACGATCCGGCTTTACCTGAAAGACCTGGGACCATATAGCGTGATTTTTGCAAGCCCGCCTTGGGGTGGTGAGTTGACTGAAGAATCCCACCCTCTGAGGACATATGCCCTTCATTGGCGCTAACACGCTACATCCTAGGCCCGGGCTATCAATCCGACTCTGTGTTTAATCTATCCACCATGGAGCCCTACTCGATCGAGACTATCTACTCGGAGTTCTCAGCCCTGACAAAAGACATAGCGCTTTTCCTCCCTAGAAGTTCTGATTTACGGCAGCTCGCAGCGCTCGTCAAGGATGGGAGGAAGACGACAGCCATGCACTACTGTATGGATGGTGCTAGCAAAGCCCTATGTATCTATTATGGAGACTTGAAACTTGAACAAGAATAGAAATCATTCAGTCCATTCTGTATTGTCCTCATGGGCTCCTGAATAACAACAATCCCCTGTGTTAACCAGCCACTGCTGACTAAGCTGGAAAGCTCCGGCTATGGTCACGTGATATCTAGAATTCGCATTCACAAGCAGCTCAGTAGCGACCAGGCATCTCACCCAGCTTGTTCCTCGACTGTCTTGCTGATTGCTGAGCTCATTTAATACGCTTTTTTCTTTATCTTCTTATTCTATGCTGTTTTTCGATGCTAACAGGCGCGGGACTCTTGATGATTCCTCATGTGCTGACTGACTACTTTGCCTGTTCCGCTTGAGCTCCCCACACTACCCGAGCTTTCAGACGTTCTTTTTCGCTTCATAGACCTCTGGCGCAGGATCGCCAGATATCCGAAAGTATTACACATTTGCGACTCGCCGAAATGTCTCAACCCCCGCAGCCCGATGGCCTCAAGCCAGCGGATGACCCCTTCGATACCTTTATGCGGGAGCTGAACTCCCCCACCGGCACCAGGGAGCTCGAATTCATGAGCCGAGAGTTAGATCCCGGGGAAAAAGCGGATGATGCTGTGGATTATGAAGATATCGAAGATGATGACGACCTCCCGGACGAAGAGCCGTCCAAACATCCAGATGCCGAAGACAAAACTGTTCAGCAGGGCCAGGGCTGGGATAGCTTCACCCAAGACCTTGACACCGAATTTTCCCGGCAGCCCCCAGGAGACGAACTTGATGATTTATTCGGAGACGTACCGTCATCACCTGTCGCGGCGGAGGCGGATAAGCATGGGGGGTTCGGACGTGCGCAGGAGACACAGCTTGCGCCTGGTGAATCGGGGTTGCAGTCGCCGGTAGATGATATGGACATGATATTTGGTGATGACGGAAAAGAAAGATCTCCAACTCCAACAGATATGGACCCAGAAACGCTTCGACAGTACCAGCTACAACAGGCTCTATTTGCCATGTCCGCTTACGGGCCAGATAACCCCCCAGCACCACCGGAGAATCATGAAGAATTACTGGCGTCCCTGTGGCCTAAATTCAATCGCGATGCTATGCCGCGCTTCCTAGAACTCCTCCCTCCGAAAAAATCACATTACATCGGCAAGACGCCGCTGAAACCACCCAAGCGGATTTTGCCTACAAAATTAAAACTCGAGTTTGCGCAAGATCAGGAGCGCATGTTTCGTTCTACCGGGAAACTAACGAAGCAGGCTTCAGAGCCAGATTCACCGTCTGTCATCATGATTAGTCCCCCTCCGAAAGATGACGATACCCTTGATGATATCATGGATCTAGAGGAGGATGATTGGGATGAGCAGCTTCCCGGAGGGGTTACTATGCAGGACTTACAATTTATTTGTGCGGACTGGGACTTCAAGGACACAATCTCGGATGAAGAAGGACCTGATCAAAACCACCTGCCTGCTCCAGATGGTGAATTCAATGAAGAGGAGGATGATTGGCTTTTTGAAACAACGCCTCCAGCCAAAAAACGAAAATTAGAAAAAGGCCCAGCCGATTACCTTGCCCTTTCTCACATCGACTTTCCTTTACTAGACGACCCTGCGGAGGTTACTGCTAAGCTTGCCAAACGGATTATTCTCGATATGAATGATCCCCGTCTTTTGCTCGACGAAATAACCCCAGAACCATCAGTCCAGGAAACGAAACTTGGAAGCGCTAGGACCCAGACCGACAATTCCACAAAACGCATGATGCAACGCTATAATATATCAAATGACGAAGCTTATGAGATGCTGAAAGAGAATCATAAAAACAAGGTCCGCAGTACGCTTGGCAATATTGTTCTGGAGCATAGTATGCCTGCAGTGCGACTCCAGTGGCCCTACTATAAGACAAGGCTCGCGAGGCAGGAGGCTCGATCTTTTCATCGTCCTGCTCTCACTTTCTTCCCGAACCTCCCTATCACCTTCAAAAAGCCGGCCGTGATCAAGCGGAAGCACCAAAAAGGCAAGGATGCCAAATCTCTCTATGATTCAACAAAATCTTTGTCTTTGGCGGATAACTCGCATGTTTTACTGCTCGAATACTCTGAAGAACATCCTATGATGATGTCAAATTTTGGGATGGGAAGTCGCGTGATCAATTATTATCGCAAGAAAAATGCCGAGGACTCCATGCGTCCCAAAGGCGAAATCGGAGAGACTGCAGTGCTTCTTCCCGAGGATAAAAGCCCCTTTTCCACATTCGGTCACGTTGATCCGGGAGAGACCACGACTGCAATTGCCACAGGCATGTTCCTTGCTCCCGTTTTCCGACAAGAGTCGAAAAACACCGATTTTCTCGTTGTCAGAAATAGCACTGGTGTGGACGGTGCAAGCTATTATCTAAGAAATATTGAAAATCTATACGTCGCAGGGCAACAGTTTCCGTCTGTTGACGTACCAGGACCTCATTCGCGGAAGGTCACAACTGCAGCAAAGAATCGTCTAAAAATGATTTGTTATCGCCAAATTCGGAAAAACCGCAACCACAGAGTCAGTGTTGCCGATATCACCGAACATTTCCCCGAGTCGACTGATATGCAAAACCGCCAGAAGATGAAAGAGTTTTTGCAATTTTCGAAGGATCACAAGGAATGGGAGATGAAACCCGGAGAACCCATACCGGACGAAGATGTCTTACGGGGTTATGTCAAGCCTGAAGACATCTGCCTTCTTGAGTCGATGCAGGTCGGTTTACAATATCTTCATGATGCAGGCTATGACCGTGAGGAGGATGAAGACGACGATGGAGATAAAGAAGGTGATAGTTTAGAGCAACAACTCGCCCCATGGAAAGCTACACGGAACTTTCTTCTTGCTTCTCAAGGAAAGGCGATGCTACAGTTGCATGGTGAAGGAGACCCGACAGGCCGAGGAGAAGGATTTAGTTTCATCAAGACGTCCATGAAAGGAGGGTTTAGAGCGGTGGGTGAAAGTGTTGAAGACAAACTCGATGCCCAAAGACTCAAAGAACTGGGCGGGCACAGTTATAATGTTGCACGCCAGCAGAAGTCGTATGAAGACTCTATTCGCAGGATTTGGGAAAGCCAGAAGAAAAGCTTGTCATCGACAATTGAGCATTCTGATGCTGAAAGTGATATCGACGTCGACGAAGCTGAGGACTTGTTTGGAAAATCCTCTGGCTTAGAACGACGCACCCCTCTACCAGGGCGCCGCGATGACGAGACGACCAGCCAGTTTAGCAGATTAAGTACGTCAAGTCAAACCAACAAAGTCATGAGAATTGTTCGCCAGGTCAGAAACTCTAGGGGACAGATCGAAGAAGTCCAGGAAATCGTTAAAGACCCGAGGGTCATCAAACAGTATCAGAAGCAGCGGTACGAAGCGGAACTCAGGGAATTATCGTACGTGCCCTTCCGATTACTTGTTTCATTTTTATTCGATTGGCTAATTTTGTACTCTAGTGCCGCCGACATGGTGCCAACCGGCGATCCCGAAACGGACGCTCGTCGCATGAAACAGTATGTCACACTCCTCACAGTCATAGTAGCTCTGCCATATCGCTAACCATGAAATCCCCACCCCACAGTATCCAAGACGAACTCCAACGTCTACAGCGCAACAAGGAGCGTCGCCATGCCCGCGAGAAACAAAAGTCACTTATGACCGAACCCAGGGAAGGTTCCCCAGAGACCGCCAACTCTCCCGCACCCACCGCCGCACCGAAAGGTGCTACACAGCGGAAATGCGCCAATTGTGGACAGGTTGGACATATCAAAACGAATAAAAAGTATGACTCCCCTTTCCCTCCATCACCTCTTGTAGGTGGAATGATAATCAAGAGCAAACCACCAACTTATACTTTCTTAGACTCTGCCCTCTTCTCAACGGGACGATGAAACCTGAAGATGGCGGGAACGCAACCGCGTTCATGATGGGAGCGCCGGCTCCCTAAGCACCATCTCCAAATGCACCCTAGCTTACTATGTCTTCCTATCCTTAAGCATTCTCTATTTTTAGATACCCTTCTTTTATTTTGTCCGCCAAATGATGATATATTTAGTACGTCCCTGAGGTTAGATGGCTGCACTTCTAGATGTGCTTTGTGGATATTTTCGCTACGTATTAAGGATGTATATGTATACCATCCAAAATTTGTCAAGTCTCCCTTAGCTTCCTCATATTCAATGGTTCCAGATATAAGTGAGAAGTCGTAAAAATATTCTATTCAGCCTATTTCCTGACATTATCCCAAGACGACTACGATCCTTCGCAGGGAACGACGTGGGATTTTTGATCAATCGTTGCTTTGGGCAAACGGCTGGCATAGAAGCCAAGAACCTGCTGAGGAATAAACGCCTGAAGGAATCAGACAAAGCGCAATGTGGAAGGAGAACCCGCGCTCACAAAAGCACACTAAAAGCCCGGGTATACGATTTTTGAGCGACGGACAGTAAGCTTCCACCTTGCCTTTGAGTTCGGATAGGCTATTAGCTTCGTTCCGGCTCAAGTGCAAGAAGGACATCCTTGGGACGCCGATAACTATATCCTAAAAAGGCCGTTCTCTTTCGCATCTCCAAAGCAGTTTTCCCCATCTGTTCATCCCGTAAGATCTTATCTCGAGCGCGCTTTTTCTCTCGTTTCTTCTTAGGGGGTTTATTCTGAAAGGTGACTGCAAGGCCAGCCAGCACATTACTCTTCGACTTCCCTCCAGATTTGACACCCGCATTGGAGCTGTCCAGCTGGGCTTTGATAGCTTCGTCTGCAGGATCTATTTCTTCAGGAGGGCTCGCTTCGCTTGTCCCATCCGGAGCATCGCTCACCAGTTCGCCTTCAAAATACTTTGTGTCTTCCCAGCCCTTAACTTTTGGTATAAATGGGGGAGTACGGTAGTGAAGTTCGTCCCATCGAATACTCTTAAAAAAGGGATGAGTTTTGATATCAGCGGCATCATCCGAATAGACGTAATAACCACGATAGCCTTTAACGGTTTTGTCGGACGGGAAATTGAGTAGCTCCCCTGGTATCCTTCCCGAATGGACAAAATCATTAAGAATATATTTTTCGGAACAAAGGCGATACTCCTTTTCTTGCAGTAGCCGCATAATTAAATCAATGGCATCGTCAGAGATAAGGCCATCAGAGGGTCGGTCCGTAGGGAAGTAAAGTGTTTGATAGTGGTGCTGGAGCGCATTAGCGACGAATGCAACATGTCAGACGATTGAATCAACTTACGAGGATCCTTTTTTTGGTATCATTTCTTGTTTTCGCCGCAAAAGGAGTAAAGCCGTATAGACACTTGATGTATTTTAGCAAGTACGCATCAGCAATGCGGGAGCCTAGCACAAAAGGGCGCACCTCATACAGAATGATCCCAATGCTCCACCAGTCACATCTTCCGTCGTAAGGCTCACTTTTGATGACCTCCGGCGCCATGTATTGACTGGTTCCCACAACACTTCTGGCTAGCTTTTTCCTTTGTTTTCGGTTTCTCCAGCGAAGGATATCATCGTTCGGGCCTGGGCCGGGAATCGAAGGCGGTCGGTCGTGAGTCCTACCGGGTTCCAACTTTGCCGCCCCAGGGGCAGCAGCTTGCGCGACTTCATAAGCTGCCTTTTTGTCTTTATTGTCCCCCTCGACTTGTATTCCTAGCTTCGACATTAATGACTGTCTTTGGTTCATGAAATATGTTTGATCGTGGGACCAATGTCCGTCAAAAGCAAGCCCAAAATCAGATATCTTTAAGTGGCCTGAAGCAGAAATAAGGAAATTATCAGGTTTGATATCTCGATGTATCCACCGGAGACGATGAGTTTCTTCCACGCAAAGAATCATCTCAGCGATATACCATCGGGTAATATCTTCACTCAAGATATTCTTCCTTATCAATAGGCTAAGGAAGTCCCCACCGATCATGAAATCCATGACGAGATAGAGATTATGGGCGTCCTGGAAACTAGAAATAAGCGGAACGATCCAGCGAGATTTTGCCGATGCAACGAGAAAGTCTCTTTCTGCTCGTAGATGCCCTTCCTGACAATTTCGTATCATATCCGACTTTCTAATGACTTTCATTGCGAAAACGGCTCTTTTCGTCTGGTCTAGTTCTTTACGACGAGAACTTCTAGTGCCCTCAACAGCAGATTTCAAAACGTCAAGGGTACTTGACCTCCTGTGGCTTTGATCTCCATGGGACTCTAACCTTGAAGTCTCTTCACTCTCATTCAGGGGCTGTTTTTCCCTCACAAGGGCGAACAACGCCAAAACTACCCTTCCCAAGAGCCTTGATAACTTCATAGCCAGCGACAGAGATACTCTCTCTAACTCTTGTGCAATTTGACCAGCTTTTTAAGACACGGTCTTGTCGAAGATGCTCGCTCTCCTGCCGATACCATGCTAATTTTGCTCGAGCACGTTCTTGTGTAGAAAGGTTGGAGAAATATAGTCTTTCTTCAAGTTCGCGTCGACGCTCAAAACGTGGGGACTCTCCAGAAAACAGTTCATTGAAATAAATTTCAAAAAAGATTCTTGCAGACGCAGCAGCCTCAACTGTGAGAATCGAAGGAGTTATCCTGTCCGCTTGGCACGATTTATCATTAGTTGGAGTAGAGCCTGGAGGTGTTTGACCGCGATTGCGGCCCCCCTTGTTGGAATTCTTTGGAATGGAAGCTAACGGGTCACCATCGGAAGTTGGATTTGTGGATTGGGTCCTGGGGGACGACCCGCTGCGGGCTGACGACGAAGAATCTGAATCATCCTGGGTATTATCTCCCAGTTTCTGTAGGTCAAGTACAGTAGACGAGATTGCACTGAAAGAAAAGTCGGGAATCTCCGGCCTTTGACGGAGGTCCGCACGGTGGATGATGGTAGGGTGACCGAAAGTTGTGGAGAGTTTATGAGATAAAATATGTGCGAGTCCAGGACTGGAATGTCGCCTGGGGACATAGAAGGTCGAGAGTTTGCCGTCTGTGCCTTCCGCCTCGCAAGGCCGGTGGCATCTATCAGAGTGGCGTTGATTCGCAAGATTTCCGCTTCCGTGCGAACGAAATGCCCTGTCTCTGGATAGCCTCAATGTGTTAGGTGGCGCCAGCAACATGGCAGGAGCAGCGTCCAGCTCGCCATCATCTTCGCCATACACTCCGCCCTGCAAAAGTAGACTATTACCTGGTTCATTCTGCGCTGGCTGGAAGACCCCCAGCAACTTGTCATCTAAAAAGTAGTTAACATCGTGCTATACATCAAGGGGCGGCTTGGGACTCTAGTCACCCGTTCCACTGTCATTACTCCGTAGCTTCAGTATTGACAGCAGCTTCGAGCCGCTTCTTCTAAAGAAGCTCCGTACACTGTCTTTGCTCCGAGAGGACCCGCTAGAACTTTCAGAGGCCAATGTCACCGAATTGTCCAAACGCTCGGAATCCTCCGCGTGACAACCAGCCCGTTTATGGGGCGCTAGATGATCAAGGAAGGTCTTGGAGGATGTAATTGTCCTCCGTTGGATGACCATGGTAGCGTCGTAGAAGCGATATCATTTATGAATATAGAGAACGACAGCCAGCGGACGGTCGAGATGGTCCAGCTCGCCTCTTGTTTTAATGAAAGAAGTAATGCATACACACCGGCGTGTTCAAAGAGTATTACACCCTGAGATACGGGAGTAGACAGGAGAAAGGAGCAGAAAGCCATCATGCTCTCAGAATCCACCCCGGCGTTGGGCCTGAAGCAAGAACAAGCCTGGATTGGCGGCGGGAAGTCGAGACCGCGTAGTACCAGGAGGAAAGCGCTGCTGGCCGCATGCTGATGGCCTCAAGCAACTGAATGCCTCGGATATCAACGAGAACTGAAGAGATCTGAGCAGTCCTGGGAGCCTGGGGGACAGCTCACTGTCTGGCCGGGAGGCAGGTGTCGGACGATTCGAGTCCAGGAGAAGCCATAACCGATATCCCTAAATATTTCAATATTGGCTTTCGATATTCATTGACTTAAAGGCTCGATCCCCCATTGTGTGATATGGATAGGATTGCACTTGGTGTAGATGGATTGCGAGTGTTGAATTGGTGGGTGACTTGTCGTTCACTCACCACCCATGAGAATCGCCGAAGCGTGCGAGTGGATAGCATCTCTAGTTACTGCACACAATTTCTATAATACGATATCAACAAATAGTAGTACTCTTGCAAGATTAGCAGTCCATTCCGTAACATCCCAGCCGTATTCTAAACCATCTCTACGAGAAACCCTTATTGAAGCTCAAGCATGCGGACTGCGAAGCCACAGGGGATATCTCCAAGAATAGAAAACAAACAGCAAAAGTAAACGCCGACGAATGAGGTTACTCTTTTGGTAGGGGATATTACTGCGAAAAAACAATGATCTGGTCCAATCCAACTCTGGCTCGAAAGTGCACGAAATCAGCCTATTTGATTTCAAGAAGTTTTACATCGAAAATGAGCTTGGAATTGGCAGGAATTCCGGGCAAGGAGGATTTGCCATATGCAAGATGAGATGGGACTGTAATCCGTCGTTCGGAGCCAACCGCCATACCGGGAATGCCAATATCCCATCCCTTGATCACTTCGCCGGCGCCGATCTTGAAAGAGAACGGTTTCCCTTTTTTGTTTGCTGAAAAAACACATGTTAGAAATTGGCAGTCATAGGGTCCCCAAATCCAAAGGCCAACTTACAATCAAACACTTTGCCATTCTCAAGTTTGCCGATATAACGCATCGACACTCTGTTGCCCTTCTTGGCTACAGGGCCTTTGCCTGTTTTCTTGTCTTCGATTTTCACGCCCTGGACTTCCTTGACAGTGGATTTAGGCTCTTCCTGCTTGGGAGCTTCCTTTTTCTGCTGCGCTGAACCACTTGGCCCTTGTTCAAGGTTTTTGGCGAATTGGACCTTCTTGTCCGTCTTTGCAGCGGCGGGAGCTTGCTGCTGCGCCTCAACAGCCTGACCGTTGTTCTTCTTGAGCTTCTTTTGTTGTTTCTTGCTGAGTGGGGGTTCCCCGTTTGTGGCAGGCTTCATGGTCTTTGACATCATATCGTCCAAATTCTCTTCTGAGTCCTCAGCAGGGCGCTTGTTCTTGCCCTTGCCATCCTTTTTAGGAGCCTTAGAAGAGACCTTCTCGTCATCATCGGTGTCGATTTCCATGATTCGAGGATTTGCCATATCGTCGAGATCGTCGCTCTCTTCGTCGATTTCTCCCATGAGAGCAAGCTCGTCTTCATCTGGCGACAGGTCGTAGTCATCGTAGTCATCGTCTTCCTCGTCGCTTTCGTCCTCATCGGCCTGATCGAGAGGGACAACGAAGTTTCCGGTGAGATAGACGGCGTGAGTGCCGGTCACTTTGAAGAAAACGCGCTCATCTTCAGTGATGACAAAATCGAGCGGTTGTTGGTAATGCTGCCGGTGTCAGGGAAATGTTAGGAACCTAGGTAGGATAAAGAACTTACCTTTTCAGGATCCAATGTACAGACAACCGCCTCATCTAGTTCGAGACCTTCAGAGCTCTCGCTGCCGTCATCGTCGGTCACCTTGTCCTTTCCTTTGATGAGCTTCGAGATGGCGGCCTTGAGATCAACATCATCCCCATCGGAATCGGAGTCGTCCTCGTCCATCGCATCTTCCATTTCCTTGAGTTTGGCAGCTTGCTTGGCCAATTTAGCCTTGGTGAGATCACTGGGTCCACCATTTGCTTCATCGTCGGAAGACTCATCGTCATCCTCAAGATCATAATCTGAGTCATCCTCATCGTCCTCATCAAAGCCTACACCCGGAGGAGCTCGAATGATCCTCAATGTCGCGCGGGGTGGCTTATTGGAGCTCGCCTCGTCCTCGTACTCTGGCAGGGCGTCAGGATCGATAGCTGCCATGGTAATACGGCACTAGTCACTTCAATCAGCACAACTGTATCCTCGCTTCCTTATAGAAACCAAAACCATACTGTTGCAGCAGCATTGGGCACCGCGGCCACGATGACACCACCTGGCGGGACCCTCGCCGCGTACAGGGCGACTGGCTGAATTCCGGACATGACTGCTGGACAAGAAAGGCTTTTGATCAAGAAGTATCCGTAGTCTCTATTCAGCAGCTAGCCAAGTGGGATACCCTGCTCCACGATTGCGAGAAAGAGAGAGAAACAGACCAGAAAAAAAAAAAAAAGAATAAACAAAAATCTGAAGACCCGCAAAAAAGCTGCTCTGCTGGGCTAAGCTCGATTAGGACTAGCACGGTATCCACATCCAGCCGCGATTAGCGCTCATGTGATCCCAAGTTTCACGTGAGCGCGCTTCCCGTCGCGTCGCGTTTGTCACCCGTTGACTCGCCACCGAGCAGCTCCCGGCCAGTTGAGGATGATGATAGGGAAGAGGACGTTATTCTCCCTGACTCCGTGGCACGGTTGATTATTTTGCGCAGCTGGCTATGAATTTTGCTTGTCCCTGGCCCCAGCATGGGCTCTCGATTAGAATCTGGTTCCAACGCCGTTCGGAAGAAGATTGAGAACCGTGAGACTCAGCCTTGGTATGGCCTGTAGAAGTTCTTTTAACTAATCTATTATAGATGTATTTGATGGCGAAGACGGCGAGGAGTACGGTGCTTCCAGTTTTGGGGGCTTCGGAGATTACTTTCGCCGCAAAAAGTTGAAATTGCAGAATCTGGACGCTGAGATACGATCGAGCTCGCCCAACAACCCCCCGATTTTTCGAGGCGTGGTGGCACACGTAAATGGCTACACCCAACCGTCTCTAAGTGACCTGCACCGACTTATCGTCAGTCACGGCGGAGGTTTCCTCCAGTACTTGGATGGCAAAACCGCGGCTACCCATATCATCGCCAGCTCCCTGACTCCGAAGAAGCGCGAGGAGTTTCGAAATTATCGAGTTGTGAAACCAGCATGGGTTGTGGAAAGCATAAATTCCGGACGACTGTTACCTTGGGATTCATTTAGGGTGGTCTCTGAAGCGGCTTCTCAAAAGGTTCTTCAGTTTCATCAGGATGGCCGGTTCACAAGCCAGAGCAGAAGCCAGTCATCTAGTTATCGTGACCAAATGGAGACGAGTTGGTATGGATCTCGCCTTATCCAGCAAGGCGTTGATGCCAACACACATGAGCCCAATGCAGCCCCTACTCCCGAGCCCAAAACGGCAGAAGAGGGCGACGATCTTTCTAATACCGCAGATTCTGTCAATGAAGATAAGTTATACCAGGTAACTGACGGTTCAACGTTGGCTGAAGACACGGTTATTCCAGACGATTTCGGGCAAAGAACCCGCCAGGAACCTGAGCCGGAAACCATACATGATGAATCACGGCAACAAAAGTCAGAGAGTCGTAAGGAGCCGACAACATCTGAAGAATACAATGCACAGTTGCTTTCAGCTCCACATCTGCGAAATTCGAGTGTAGCAAATCCGGATTTTATAAAACAGTATTATCGGGAGTCTCGCCTTCACCATCTTTCTACCTGGAAGGCTGAGTTGAAAGCAAAACTGCAGGAGGCCACACTTGCAAGGGCTTCCTCCCGTCGTACAGTCAAAACAAACGTTCCTGGGGCTCGAAGGTATATTCTTCACGTTGATTTTGACAGTTTCTTTGCCGCCGTTTCCCTTCGGAAACATCCCGAACTGGTGGATAAACCAGTAGCCATCGCGCACGGAACAGGAGGAGGGTCTGAAATAGCTAGTTGCAACTATCCAGCTCGGGCTTTTGGGATCAAAAATGGAATGTGGATGCAGGGTGCCATGCAGATGTGTCCTGACTTAAAAGTTCTTCCCTATGACTATGCTGGCTATGAAGACGCTAGCAGGAGATTCTATGAAGCAATACTTGATATCGACGGCATAGTACAGAGCGTCAGCATCGACGAAGCTTTGATCGATATCACCAGGCTATGTCTCGATGCGGCGAGTTCTGACGGGAAGGGCATATCTGAAAGCTCTATCTGGAGAGAACAAACAAAAGCAGACGAAATCGCTCAGGGCTTACGTGATTCGATCAAGCGCAAAACTGGGTGTGATGTATCTGTGGGGATCGGAGGGAACATTTTGCAGGCCAAGCTTGCGTTGCGGAAAGCAAAACCAGCGGGTCAATTTCAGCTCAAACCGGACGCTGTGCTTGATTTCATCGGAGAGTTCACTGTGCAGCAGCTGCCAGGAGTAGCATATAGCTTGGGAGGTAAGCTCGAAGAGCTAGGGGTCAAATACGTCAAGGATATCCGCGAACTCTCCAAAGAAAGACTGATTCAAAGCCTCGGGCCCAAAACGGGGGCTAAATTGTGGGATTATGCACGAGGTATTGATAATGCAGAGGTAGGGGACGTCGCACCTCGGAAGTCGGTGTCCGCAGAAATCAATTGGGGAATCCGCTTCGTTACGCAAGCGCAGGCAGAGGAATTTGTGCAAAGCTTGTGTGATGAACTGCATAGAAGACTTGTGGAAAACGGGGTCAAAGGGAAGCAGTTGACAATGAGGATCATGCGAAGAGCATTGGATGCACCCTTGGAACCGCCAAAGCATCTGGGACACGGAAAGTGTGATACGTTCAACAAAAGCATAATGCTCGGCGTCGCCACCAATGCCAGTGAATCACTGGGGCGAGAAGCTATCTCGGTTCTCAGAGGTTTCAATTTCTCGCCTGGCGATCTGAGAGGACTGGGCGTGCAAATGACTAAACTAGAGCCCGTGAAACCTGATGCTGCTCCTGGTGCGCAGAGTAGCCAGCGTCAATTGAACTTCAACGCGTCGAGTCCCCGAAAGCGACCTTTTACACCCGATTTGGATGAAATAACTACACCAAGAAAAGCAGAGTCGCACATCGCGATACAAACCGCACCGATCTTGAATGATGAATTGCAGAAACCGCTGAATATCACCGGTACTCAGTTTATCCTGCCTTCTCAAGCCAATTCTCAGGTTCTCGCCGAGCTGCCTGGAGATATTCGGTCAAAATTTGTTTCTATGAACAAGCGCCAAAAGCTTGATAAAGTGGAAAACCCTCCCAAGAGCTCTTCGCGGCCCCAGACTCCTCTTGGGCTGCCTCCCCAGTCGCAGCTTGATCCAGAGGCTTTAGAAGCCCTACCAGAAGATGTACGTACAGAGATACTGGGGTACTATCAGCAATCCCCCCAAACGCCTACGCGCCATGGGTCGCCAGAGTCAAGTAAGATCCGGCCGAAGACTAGCCTTACCCCCACAAAGACTCGGGCTGGTAGAGGTCGCGGCAGGCAGATTGGCAGTAAGTCTGGAGGAAACTCCAGCCTCACTCAGTCGAATTTTGTTGTGGCTCGGCCATCTTCATCCACGGGAGCTGCAGTAGGCGAGAGCCCTGGCGCGCCGTCGTTTGTCGAGGAATACGCGGAGGATAATATCTCGGAGGAGTTTCTCTCAGCGTTACCGGAGGATATCCGTCGCGAAGTCATAGAAGAACATAAACGCTCCCGTCTTCAAAAACGGGCGGGACTCAATTTACCCGCTACCCGCAAATCCACGTCGAGCAAACCTACCGATCGCCCACCAGATCAAAAGGTACTCGAATTCCCCCCTCAGCCGCCAAAGCCGACGTTCACTTCTCGGAAGCTCTCTTCGCTTCCAGAACTTCGCGAAGCGTTGAGTGAGTGGTACGAATCGTTTAAAACCGAGGGGCCTTTTGAGGAGGACGTAAATGCGCTTACTAGGTATTTGAAGCGCGTGGTCCTTGAAGAAAGAGACGTGTCCAAGGCTGTTGCCGTGACCCAGTGGTTTGGCTGGTTACTAGACCAGGACGCAAGCGATAAAGACCATGCGTTGGAGACAGTGAAACTTGGCTCCAGCGGCCAACAGCCGTTAGATGCCTGGATCTCTGCTCTCCAGAAGATTCGCAGCGATGTGAACGATGCTCTGGGGGAAAGGGGTTTACCTCCAGTTGAATTTACATGAGATGCAATCAGTTGTAGCAGAAACGTTGCATATTTGGATATTCAGTACCTATCAATAACAAATTTTTTAAATTAACTGCCAGACCATTCCAGTATTTATCCTGGCGCTGGGCTCCTGGACCGGGCATCGCAAACATTCACTGGGTGGGCATTCATCAGGCCGAATCAGTTGCAACTCCAGTTAGCAGGAAAAGACTGCGGTGTTTCCTCTCTGACATGGACAGTGCTGATGCCATCCAGACCAAGCACACCAAGCCGGCATCAGAATAAAAGACCAATAATGCCTCTGCGGCTATTCGTCGCCAAACGCAAAACAGCTGGCTTGACATAATGTTCATTGCATATGCATGTCCGCTTGTATAAAGGCATCATCTCAGGTATCATCACGGAAGCCCGTGTAGGCGATGTCATCACTCGCGACTAGACGCCCAATCAGACTAGCCGGTAGGATTCTTTGTTGGACAGGACCTGGCAGTTGAAGGAGGAATGACCGTTTCCTGAGATCCAGCTTTTAGAGACAGCTGCAGGAGTGGACGTCGCTCATGCAGCGGGAATCCATCCAGCCCTCGTGAAACCGGCAGGGATGTTATATGCGAATAGCTCAAAGAGAAAATCGCGCGGTGGAAGAGATTTTCCATCAATCGGATGTCTGTTAGGAATGCGTTGGTTAACAAAGGATCGCAAGCAAGGTCCGTGTCTTGCGGCTGTCACCAACAGTTAACTAATTAGTTAAAAGATGACCAAGCAACCTTCTCACTGTTGCCTGTTTGCCGAGGATCAACGTCTCCTCAGTTGCATTCAGTCAAGCTGAGAATATCCAGAATCAACACGGTGAGCTGCCATTATCTTCTTGTCTTGATTTGAATAGGAGTGCTGATAAAAGTACTTTCAGCTTTGCAGCCATAAATCATGAGTAGCAACACAGCAGGTACGGAAACAGCTATTATTCTGTCTTCCCGCGAGAATCCCCAAAGCAACATGCAGACCAGATACAACGCAAGACTGACATGGGCTATCCAGCCAAACACCCGGTCAAATATGCCGTTGTCCTCTACCCGGGCTTTCAGGCCTTGGACACTTTTGGCCCATTGGACATCTTGAATGGACTGGCGAACCACAGCCCAATCAGCCTCGACATCATCGGCCCGTCTTTGGACCCCGTGAGCACTAATCCTCTCCCCAGGCCTGGCGTGCAGCGCAACCAAGCAGTTTCCCAGAGCGTGGTCCCCACGCACACATACGACAATCCGCCGAAAGACATCGACGTTCTTCTCGTTCCAGGGGGGGTGGGCAACAGAGACCCAAGGGTCTTGGAGCCAGTATCAAAGCTTATCCAGGATCTGTATCCAGGACTGCAATACCTCTTTACCGTCTGCACGGGCTCAAGGATCCTCGCGCACACGGGTATCATAGACGGGAGGAAGGCGACGACCAACAAGATCAGTTTCAGTGAAGTCGCGTCCCACTATCCCAAGGTCAACTGGATCGAAAAGGCACGCTGGGTGGTCGATGGGAATATCTGGACTACCTCTGGGATCAGCGCGGGGATAGATGGGATGCTGGCATTGTTGGAGCATGTGTATGATAAAGAGATCGCAGACCGCCAGGCCTATATTCTGGAATATATCCGGAATGAAGACCCGTCCAACGACCCTTTCTGCGGTCACACGGAGTAAGGATACGGATAGAATAGACAGTCTTGTTGCCTTTCTTAGCGGCTTTGAATCTTCGCAATCATTCAAGCAGTTGACTAATTACTCTGTATTCTTTATTATTGCTTACATCCCCGCAAATCACATTCATACTGCTCCATAAAGAATATCGGCAATGCGCCATCCTTGAGATTACCCGGCAGTTCCCCAGCCCTCAATTTCCCGTCGTGATCGCGCACCAAGACAGGAAGCGAACGAGAGGGCCACGTCGTTGGGATTGACCTCTTTCGGCCCTGCACGGATGTAATTTGTCAACACAAACCAGTCTCCTGGGATGAACGAGTTCCACCGCAGCCCTCTCGCACCCTTCCGCGCGCTGCCAACGGGTAGTTCAGGCCCCATTCGTGCGCTCCAGCTCGTTCAACACGGCGACTTTTTGATGCTCGCGATGCAGGTCATCTGACCGGCGGCTGGAGGCGGAAATCTCCGGGATTTCTTGTTCCGGCGCTAGTCCACAAGCGGATAGGCCCGCCGAGAGCGGAGATTAACCCTAGCCCTGAGCCCTAATTGGGACAGGGCGTGGCTGCGTGCATGCGAACCAGAACGCTGCTTTTGCTCCAGGAAATGCGGGTGGAAACTCTGACGGCCTTTGGGAGCCCGCGGAAGACACGGCAAAGCTGCTTCCACTTGATTCGACAGGGCCAGATCAGGTGCGGAATCCAGTCGGTCATAGCACCATCTTTCCTGCTCCTCTCGCTTTAACAGCGCAGAACTAATGGCATATGAACCCGAGGCAGCTTCTTTGTAGCAGTGAGCGATGCCATTGCGCCGTCAACTGTTCGAGGACCCTGATGTTTTCCAACGTGATACGGCGTCATCTGGTACCACAACACCACAAGACTGGGAATGACTGTGTGTCATTGTGCTTTAGTTACCCCTGGGAGCGTGGCTTTCGGGTACATTCCCAGGGCCAGAACCCGTCGTCTACCGGATGACCGCATAGCAAGCGCGAACCCCGTCCGTGGCTATCAGAAATAACAATCCCCAACTTGTGAAGCGTTTAGCATGACAGGCCCTTTGGCGGGTAGACTCTTTTAACCCCGTCAACCGAGCCTCGTAGGTCCGTCAGGCCTCGCGTGCCTTTTATCTGTGGGTCATGGCGAGAACTGAGGAAAGGGGATCAAACCTTTCCGCCCCATGGATGAAAGTTAGCAAGGAATGACTTTTATCAAGAAATATACCTGCTGCTTGCGGTTTGGCGAGAGGAATCACAGGAATCAATCCTCCTTGTTCGATCTCCCGACAATCATCAACACCCCGGCTCTGCCTGTTCTTCTCCCGTCAGTGCCCACGTACGATGATATCACCGTGGTGAATGGCGCCGGCGCAACGAATCGGCATTCAACCCGACAGCCAAAACCGCGCTTATGTAACTGACTTGCTGGGTGGCAGTCTCCCCAGTGGCAAACATGGGACGGAAAACGCCTTTTAGAACCGCGAAAATATCTGGTCCGGGGCAAATTCATGGTCAGGGCAAGGCGCAAGCCAGAAGCGCTGCTGGAATCCACGAGAGCTCCCCAGCAAAAACGAGGATTTTCACGTCAGTTTCACCTGTGCAACCAGATTTCTTGCGCAGCGTGCTTCCCGTGCGACTTGACCGTCAGTATCCGCACCCACTCGATTGCAGATTTAGCTGCTTTTCTGCTGTTGCTTTTCAGTTCCGTGGGTCTGCTGGAGGCTAAAATAGACCGAGAGGGCGCTTTTTTTGTGCCGGTGTCTCTAAAACTCCGCGTGCAGCATTTCCCTTGTAAATAACACCCTGGATGCAGCATCCTTATTCCACGACAACTCGTTGCGCACGGACTCGAGATTAGGGAATATATCCTTCGACGCAGTATCCCCGAGTCCAGTATATAGAAATCCAGCTTTGTTCAGATTCACTCGGAACCACATGGCGCCCATGCAGCCGGAGAGTTTGTTCGCGCAGTTGACCACTGCACCACACGATGAGGTCTTTGCTCTCATGGGCACATTCGCCGCAGACACGTTTCCAAACAAAGTGAGCCTGGGCGCTGGTGTATACAGAGACAACGATGCCAAAAGCTGGAGGCTACCGGCCGTGAAGAAGGTGAGTCATTCTCCCTCAAGCACTCGTGCGGACAAAGGCTCAAGGGCACCACCCCAGGCAGAAGCACAGATCCTCGATGATCCGACTTTCGATCACGAATATCTCCCCATTGCGGGCTACGCACCCTTTATCGCTCTTGCTCGGGATCTTGTGTTTGGAGCAGACTCGCCCCTAGATACGGCCCAAATCGCCAGCTTGCAAACCGTCTCAGGAACCGGCGCAAACCACATCGGAGCGAGGTTTCTTGCAGACTTCCTCCCTCCCTTGGTGCACGGGAAGAAGCGAAAGGTCTGGATTTCCGACCCAACATGGGTCAACCACCACTTGATCTGGGAGCTGGTCTCATCAGGCACCACTGGAAGCCCCGTGGAGCGCCGCACATACCCCTACTACCATGCACCAACTCGATCGCTGGATTTTGAAGGCATGATGGCCGTGCTGGAAAAGGACGCCACCCGAGGAGACGTCGTTCTCCTCCACGCTTGCGCCCACAATCCCACCGGAATCGACCCGACCAGAGCGCAGTGGCTCAAGATCGCAGACCTCTGCGAACGCAAGGGCCTGTTCCCCTTCTTCGATTCGGCATATCAGGGATTCGCGTCCGGCGACTTGAACAACGATGCGTACGCCATCCGCGAATTCGCTTCTCGCGGTATGGAGCTCTGCGTCGCGCAGAGTTTCAGCAAGAACCTGGGTTTGTACGGTCAGCGAGTAGGCGCCATTCACTTGGTATGTCGAAACGCAGACGCAGCGGCAAAGGCAAGATCGCAGGCCATGGAACTGCAGAGAGGCGAAATCTCGACTCCACCAGCATACGGTAACTCTCTCTCTCTCTCCCTCCGTCCATGCCAATCGCAAATATATTCTTACCCACACACTAACAAATCGAAATAAAAACAGGTGCGAGGATCGCAGCAGCCGTGCTCGGCGACCCGACCCTTCGCGACGCCTGGAAGCAAGACCTCATCACGATGAGCAGCCGGATCAAATCCATGCGACGGGCTCTGTACGATGAACTCAAACGGCTCAATACCCCGGGCACCTGGGAGCACATCATCAACCAGATTGGCATGTTCTCTTATACGGGCCTGACCAAGGACCAGATCCGTATTCTGAATCAAAAGTACCACATCTACATGCTGGACTCGGGCCGTATCTCGATTTCTGGACGTCAGTTGCACACCTTTCTTTCCTTTTTTTTTGTTCCCTTTCACCATGCAGGGTCCGCCATGCGACGATGCGTGACCCCGCCATGTGCCTTTTTTTCTTTTCTTTTCTGCGTGACAGGGATTCAGTTTCCATCCGGACCGTCTCCCAGCCCGTAGAACGACTTGGAACGACATGGAAAACTGACTGTTCTTTTCTCTGCAGTGACTACCAGTAACGTCAAATACGTCGCGCAGGCTTTTGACTCCGTTGTGCGAGAGTGTCCCGCGTCGACAGCCAACGGCAAATCCCACCATCCTTGACGAGGACCGACGACGAAGCCAGAGTGGTGACATCCAGATGCTTTGGTTGCCATAGCACGAGTACCTATTATCGATTTCGTTTTTTGTTGTTTGGCTATTGTCCCAATTTATCCTTTTTCCTTTTGGATCTATGTCGATATCCTTGTATGTTGCTGCAATGTATTGTATGGCGTCCGCAATATCTTGAATGAACAATCTATGAAACTGCTATCTCAATACCTACGTACCTACAGCCTTTTTATATTTGTAACAATTGCTGGGGGGCATGCCTGTACAGGGAACAAGAATTATCGTACGATTTTTTGGCCAGTTTTGCAGGACGCCCACTTTTACCAAACGCACCCAAATCCCGTGCAACTCCAGCAATTTTCCGGTGGTCCCACCTCTGTGTGCACATATGAATGCAGACCGGTGTCCGGAGAGTATATGTAGACACGAGGCTGGTTGGGTTTTCCATTTGGCAAGATTACGCTTTACCACGGCAAAGCAGAAGCCAGAAGTGAGTCCGCCTTCGGGAAGTTAAGTTTAATGGATATCCTCACTGTACTATAATGACAAAAAACTTGAAATCAAAAGCCAGACTGACAATTCCGCCCAAATAATACAAAACCGGCTCCAGACAACCGGGGAAGAGATATTGAACCAGTCAAAAAACAACCCGACGGTCATCGAGAACATGGACCCAAAAATCGGAAGCACTATCCACACGCCAGAAACACAAAGACGGATGAATATGACCTCAGTAAACCGGTCTGCCTTCATCCCATTTCTTCATCTCTCGGCCTTCTGGAATCTCTTTGGATGCGACTTTAGACTCCTGTGGCAACAAGGAAAACCTGACTCTTGAGCTTTCCAATCGATTGCTCGGCGACTCCAAGTCTCCGCCAATTGCTCGAATACCGCCAATCCATTCCCAGACTCTCGACACGTCACCGCCACGCCCTTCTCGGACAGATGCTCGCACATTGGCGTTCCCCTCGACGATTCTTTTGACACGGTTCCAAAGATGCTCTCGCCGACTCCTCCTTAACTCATCTCGTAAAACATCGTCGCGGAGTTGTCCAGCTGATATCCACGGCTCCAATGCTTCTCCACGTGCATGTAAGGCAGCCTGTGTTGCCAAACGGTCCAGGGTCATGCTAACTAGAGACGGAACACGAGCTGCATCGGACCGCTTTGCGAGAATTTGAGCGCGAGTATAGCTAAGGATAGAAGCCAACAGTACTAAAATGAGAATAGGGAGTCGATACGCGAGGAGAGAGAGTCGAAGGTGCCGCTTGGCCGCGCAGGGGAGGGAGAGTTTCGCGAGGGAGGAGGAGCTAAACGTGATGATCGGGGACGAGCTCGGGCTGTGTATGCGTGTCCGTTACTGTTAGTCGAACTTCCCACGTCAGAAGATATCAATAATAAATATCGCCCCCCACATTGGACAAATCAAAGAGTTCGCCATGAAAGGACAATCAACTGCTGGAAAGCAAGCAAACGCTAAAGGAAAAATGTAGCTTACCCTTGAGTCTTAGCCGTAACCTCTTCCCTACCAGCAATTTCCCCAAGCGCTCCCTTCCAGAGCTCCTCAAATTCCTCGTCACTCATGCCCTTTCGTTTGGATTTGCTAACTCGCTGCTTTAGTTCGGCAGCTGTCATCCTAGGAGAGGTGACTTTCTTACTACCATCCTTGTTCGCCTCGCCGCACTCATATTTTGCTCTCTGTACCCTCAACTCTTCAACTGCTTTATCTGAAACAACTTTGACTCGGCGTAGTTTGTCACTATCCGGTTCGCAAGTCGGAGGCAGGGGAATCAAACCCCCGAGAGACAACGGGTGCGGTTTTAGGACAAAATCTTGCTCACAACTAGCTTCGAGGCTGGGATAGCAGAACGCATGTTGTGGGCATGGTTCGCATTTTGGCTCCAATGCGTTTGCCCATTTGGGAACCTTGGTGCCTTCGAGAGACCAGTGCTTTTTGCCAACACCGCAGTATCCTATCTCAACCTTTTCTTTTCTCCACCACAGCCCAATGCTGGACAGTAGTGTAAAGATAACGAACCAGGACGCAAGCTGCGCGCTTTTCCCCTGACTTGCTGGCCTTCGCTTCACGACTGCCTTTCGAGGTGTAGCTTGTGCCTGCATTAGAGCGAGCTGTTCATCTGGTGTAAATTCTTCTCTAGGCTCGATATCTTCTTCCTCCCACTCTTCTGCTTTAAAAGGCCTGAGTCCGGAAACTGGGGCCTCGAATGTTGCGCTAGTTGGCACCATGATACCACCTTCTTGCTTTAATCTGGTCAACAGCGGCGGCTCGGTTTTACGTTTCCTCCTCTCGTCCATTGTTGGCGTGGTCGCATAAAAGTGCTTTGGTGTACTCTTTCGCCTTAGTTCACGTGCTTAAGCTTCTGACATGGGGAGTCTCAA